GCCAGCCAAGTAACGATCGAGGGTGCATATGCCCGTGATTGCTCTGTACTTGGTCATAATCGCTGCCGTTCAATACCTTACAGAATCCTAGTGATACAATGGCGTGGAGCGCTGATGGTACGTCAATGACGAAAGCAGAGAAATCCGTCAAGAAAACACGAAAAGGGGGACTCCTTGTTTGTCGGATGATCTTCGCTCAGGGACGGGCAGCAACTAAGACAGCGGACGTATGGACGAGTTCACCGCAACGCGTTTGTGGCACCATGCCAATCCATGCTCCAGTTTGCTCCAGTTGTGCCGCTGCTGGCAACGCAGCTCGTCCAAATCACCAACTAAACTAGTGGGCGGATCGCTTTTGGGGCGGAGTGCTTTCGAAGTCCTGCTCAGCAACCAGCGCACCTTTCGTCGTGAAGCGCCACACCTCGCTTCCTTGGCAGCCAAGTAACTGCTTCGTGTGGCGCATATGCTTGTCCCAATGCGCTCCCAGTTTAACATAGTCGGTTCCTCCAAACGGTGTCGGTGAGCTTTGATCCAGGGATCGTGAAAGCGGTAGTTGGCTCTTCTTATCACCCATCTGCCCCTCTCTTTGCACTATGTCTAACCACTGATAGAGTGGTTACTTTAAGTGTTGACTTTTTTGTTGAATTTCTGCTGAATGTTTGATCTGACATAAAAAATCGCTCAGTGATTTAGACAGTTTTGAAAATGTGATCGATGCTTCGTTGAAAGAAATTGGCATTGTTGGAAAGTTCAGCACTCGTACTCAGGCTGGTTTCGAAGTGCCTGAGTTTTGATGATTTATTCTTTAGTCTCTTGATTCCTCGAAAATTCACTTTTCTTGGCTCTAGGAATACTCCTCGGTTTTGTGATAATTTTTGACGATTGTCTAAGCTCGGTGTTTGTTCTGACAGGTTGCGCTAAGCTGTTACGGTGACTTTGGTTTCATAGCGAATGTTTAGATCCCGAGCATTTGTTGTGTTTTTTAAGAGACTATCGTGTCTGCCATTAATATGTTTTATTATGATTAATTTCGTTCAACATTCCTGTAGTTTTTATCGGAATGGTGTTAAAAAGTCGATATCGATCGATTATTGATCTTCAGGTTCCGTTATTGCAGTGTATTAATGTGACAAGTTATAGCTATGCACTTACCATGTATTAATATTAGATTGCACTAGCTTTATTTATGGCACTAATTATTACAGATTTCACTTATTTGTTGATTTGAACATCATTCTGAAGACGTGGTAAAGTGCGCGTTTTTTGTCTTCATACATTATCTCTATTTTAAAGCTGATATCAAGTAGAAATAGCATTGAGCATGTGAATAAATGATAATCGTTATTAAATTTGTTCATTAGTACCGAAGAGGGAAATTCTGTCCAGATTTTATTTCTTCAAGCGATATAGGTCAGACGGAGCTTCCATATGTAGGGAGCTGTTCGACTTCCATCAGTTCCGTTTCCTCCCAGAAAAAGTGGGATGGGTCAGATTCGATTATCTTCACACGTGCACGTGTGATCGGGCGAGTTTTCCATAATGGGGTTGCTCAAAGCGTGAAAGCAATAACCTCCACTTCAAAAAGCGAGAAAATGTCGGGTGCAGACCTAACTCCACAACTAACGACCGCCTCCAAGTAAATCTGGTTAGAAGTTGTTCATAACGATAGTTGGTTTCTGGTAAATGATAGTTGTAATTAGTGACAATCGATATATACACAACAGGCTAATCATTTCATTGGCCAGAAAACATTAACATTTTGTGAAGGCTGTCGTCACTTGTGGTGTATGGTCTGCACCCGACACTTTCTCGCTTTTTGAAGGGGAGGGTAGATATAACAGTGTTTTTTTAGGTGGTCTTCATTTATCAAGACGTAGTCATAGGTTGATCAGAAAAAAGGTAAGTGTGGTTGAGACTGACAAGGAAGGTCTTTCAGGGGTACAAACGTGGGTTTGCGAAAACGGTCCGTTAGGCACATGCGGTAGAACCACAGAACCATGGTTAATTTTTCCTGAACGGCCCTCTGAATACCAGAAAAGGGGGTCCCTAGTCACACCTTTTTCACCAGTTTTTCAATCAAAGTCTATTTGTAAGGGTTACTGACGTTCCTAATCATGAATTTGGTACTAATTATTCATGCTAACTCCATTTTGCGCGAATTTGAAACGTCAACACGAAATGCAAAAACTTGTCACCACGAGGAATCGAACTAGGGACCCCTTTTCTGGTATTCAGAGAGCCGTTCAGGAAAAATGAACCATGCTTCTGTGGTCCCCATATGTGCCCCAATGTCATGCAAGAAACCATTTTGAAAAAGCTTGGCACACCCTGAACGACCTCCCTTGTGAGGTACTTAGAAAGGGTGGAAGTTGATAAACTCTCAGAGATATAGATATTTTATAGCGGACACACCGTTAGGCCGATGTCAGACTTTGCGAATCGCGCGATTCGCTAGCGTCCGCGGTCGCGTTGCGGTACCAGCCAATTGAGTGATTCACTGGCCGCGACGCGACCGCAGACGCTAGCGAATCGCGCGATTCGCAAAGTCTGACATCGGCCTTTGTACAACTTCTGTAAGTAGAATTGGCCTAGCTCTTTGTTGGCAACGATCATGTAGTTTCTAGTTGTTGCTGGTCGCATTGATTATTTGATTTAGTTACGGTACGAGATCGACACGCTAGAGTGAAGCTGCTGTTCTCAACAATCTTACATGGACTCGGTGTTTTGCTGTTATTAGTTGGCAGTCCTTGTATTCTGACCGCAATTCGGAGACTCAAGGGGCAAGAATTCTAGATGCCTGCGGTTAGTTCATATTTAATTTCGATATTCGGCATTTTTTATTTCCTTCTCATCGGGGAATGTATGCAATGAGAAGGTCGAATGGTAAGTTCCATTGTAAGGTTTAGCTCTACTATGTGAATAGATTGGCTACAGATATTCGTGCTTGCCAGAGCTTTATTGATCCAGCGGCAGTTCGCTCAGCTTTTTGTTTTGATTCTTCAGTAGATATTTTATTTATTCATTCATGTCTAAGCTCTCGTTAAAATGTTATACTCCGATGAGTCATCAATGTATCGATGAGCGTCGATGTAAATGTGAAGGTTAACCTCATGCATACCTACATATTTTTGAAGTAGCGGCGTGAACAATTAAAACTCACATAATTTTTTTTTTTCGAGTTGTGTTTGGGGTTTGGGTTATTGCTAGCCTTTTCGTGGTTGGAAGGGCCACATTTGAAAAAAATTAGGTCACGGAGTAGCGAGGATGCCAGAAGTTGTTGGAGTTATCAGGTTTATAGGTCCCGGACCTATATTTGAAGATTACGGGGCATTGGTCAACCAAGGGTAAGAAGTCCAGACAGAAAAGCATAAATTTTGTGTTTTCTAGGAGTAAGCCTTTTGATAGAGGGAAGAAAGTAGAGATGTTGTAATAGTGTGCCTGTGCGAGAGTGCCCAGAGATTACTACTAAAGGCTGAATCACCAAATCTTCCGGTTGACCGCTGCCCTTGAACGATATTTGATGTGTACGCAGCAGTATGCAAATAGAAATAATGGTTAGGCATATTTATTAGACCATAAAGTAAGGTAAGAGAGGGTCGTGGAGCGGGCTGAGGTGATCAGAGTTGGACCATCACTGCCAAGCCCCTGCTAGCCAACTCCAGCCCCCTTTGATACCGTGACCTGGCCCACGCCCCTTCACAGTGGACTTGGACCCTACCAGGTTGAGAGCACTCGTGTTCAGAGACTTGTGTCGTGTAATCTTGATAATACCCATTTTGCGCAAATCTCAGCTTAAATTTACTTTTCGCCGCGCTACGTTGATGTCTGTCGTCCAGCTCCCTCGTACTTTCGTCGTCTCATCTCTCATGAGAATAGCAAGTGTTTTTCGAACGAGAACTCGTACTGTGCCCAACATCATTTCTAAAAAAGAGGGCTCAGTTAGCGCCTTTTTGGCTCTGTCATCTGTTTTTCTTTGCAGTACCATGCTGTTTAGCGCTGCCGAAACGGTCCTTTTGCCGTAATCGCCAGTGTACTTGGGTGTTACAAGTGAAACATTTTAATTATGGACAAGCTATGGTAAGTATACCATGAAAGCTGAGTTGGATGAAATGGTGCCCCGGTAGCGTAACTGGTAGCGCACTTGCTCGGTAAGCGGAGGTGCGGGTTTGGAGTCCCCCCCCAGGAGGCCCGTCGCGTGGCAAGAATGCCGAGTCAGCGGACGAGTCGCGTGCGTATTTAGGGGGTTTACGGACTACTTGATTTTTCCTCAATGGTCCTGCCGCGATGGCTAGAGCACAGACGATTAGAGAACGGGTGAATGCCCTAGGACTAAGCCTTGGAGAGGAGAGGGACCCGCGAGAGAGCGCAGAGGCGGTTTAAAGGGCTGAGTTCAAGTAGTCCGTCGACCCGTATTAGGGAAATCGCGTCAAGTTAAATAGAATGTCCCATTGCACGTCCTTCATCGCACATCACGCGCCGCGACTCGTCCGCCGACTGCCTTCTTGCCGCGCGATGGGCCTCCTGGGGGGTACCCGCGGGTTTGAGTCCCATCTGGGGCGAAAGTTTGTTCACAGCCCAGCCTCCTCGAAGAACTTTCCCAAGGCGAACTGCGGCCAAAAACAGCACTTAACAAACAAAAACAAATTTTCATTTACATTACAGAGAAGCGAAGATGATGGAGATTTAGTACGAATCATAGAATATATGCATATCGATCAGTTTACACATTGTAAACGCATTAAAAACGTATCTACATAGAATATTATTGGTCACGAATGAACGGGTTTGACGAAGAATTTCACACGATAACCGTATAACTACAGACCCTGTAGTAGGTCTTCACATCGAGTGATGTATGATATTCACTGATAACATAGTAATGAATACGAAATATTATAGATTTTCGACTAGAGTGCTTTACAAAACAACAAAGTAACTAAATATTTAAAAAATAATAATTCTAATTGATTAAAGAGAATATTATGCAATTTGAGAATACATTATTGATGAAGTCTCTCTTTTTCGGGTGGAATCACTAATGGTTGATTGTTGACACTGCTGTAGCGATGACCGGCTAGGGTTTTGCTGTTGTCCTGAAAGCACAGAGTGATTAGGTGCACTGAAGGATGGGCGATAGGTGTTCCGGGTTCCGGCAGAGGTGTCGGAAATCGGAAAATTGTCAAGGCGTAGGACATACCTTCTGTCTACAACATCGCCTACGGAATGTACATACGCAAAGTATGAACACCAGGCATACGGCGATCGTTATGCCGAATACCCAACGTGCCAACATGCCTTTGTCCTTGACGATTCGTTCAGTAAATGAGAGGTCCTGCAAAGATATAATTTGATGAAAGTGGCGCCATGAGCGATTTAGCGATCGATAATTGATCTGCAGCTATCCTACAGTCTGCCAAGCAGCGCTAATTGTCATTAGGAAAAGTTTTGAAAATTGGCGCACTCCCCCCCTCGCCCCCCCCCCCCCGCACCGCCGCTCATGCTGCAGGGCTTCAGCAAAAAACGACCCGCAACGGCTTCCATACGACGCAATGAGTTTTACAGTGGCCGTACTAGTTCATATCGCACTCCGCACGGACTGCCCGCCCGCCCGAAAGCCTCAGAGTCTGTTCACGGAGGGCGGGCATTACGGTACATCAATTGTACCCCTCCAGATTTGCATGAAAAAGTACTACCTGAAGAATCTGCTCTTTCCCTACATTTTCCATGACCCTTTTTTCGAGCACGACCCCTACCTATAATCACAAAATGTAACCCAGTCGTTGGAAAACTCAGATCATTGGGCTTTCCTCAAAACACCCTGAGGTCTCGTTTGAAGGTTGAGCGTTTTGTTTTTATCAGACATTCGTTTTTAAGATATAGCATTATAAATCCATTTTACCTCATCACTTTCTGTTTCCTCGTCGTCCTCACCGCTGTCGTCGGCGTTTTGGTCGTCCTTCTCATTTGATTCCTCTTCGTGCTCATGTTCGCGGTCTCTTTAGTCTTCTCCTCGTCCTCGGTGGCATTTTCAGCTGAGTTTGTCTTTTCTTTGTCAGCAGTGTCCGCATGGTGCTCGGTTTCGTGACTCCCGTCAGTCTCGGTGACTTCATCTTCTTTCTCTTCCTCATGATCCTTCCTCTCTTCCTCTTCCTCCTCATTGTCCTCTTTCTCTGGCGTTTCTTTTTCTTCTGCTGATATCGCAGCTGTAGTTGCTTCTGAAAAAGGTATTGAAGCTTCAAATGGAATAATATGAACACTTGCAAAATTCAAAAAGTGGGTTTTGATAACTATTTCTGTTCCCTTTTGAGTCGGTTTCAGACTTTGCGATAGCGAACTCGCTAGCGAATGCGATGCGCCGACGGTTCGAGCGATCACCTGGAGTCATGTACTAGCGGTCCGAGCTACGTCCCAGAAGTTCGGACGATATACCAGCGACGCGGCAGTGATCAAAAGTTGCCCACAAACAGACTCTCGCCACTTTCCAGGCATGGGGAGAGTGGCAAAAAACCGCGGGTGGGAGGTCAATGGAAGAGGCGAGGGGACTCCGCGAAAACTCCTGCCACATTTTAGTCTGTGCCGTGAATGCCTGGTACATAGTCAAGACCGCTGTACATGGTTGCGATTTACGGGCGCCATCGTTCGAGCCGCTGCGCATCGCTTGTACCCCTCGACTAGCAATTCCGTTAGATTTGCAAGTTTTTTCAGTGATAATCCCTCCCCACGTAAACTCTCCGTTGTTTAAATCTTTAGTAGAGCTCAACGCTACGAAGCCTTTCATCATCTAGGGTAGGCTGATTGGTGTAGACTCCTTTGAAAGGAGTTGAAAACACTGACCTGATCGACAGGCCCCTATCCTCCCTCCCCTTCCCGTACCGCCTGTTTTAGTTATTGTTCTGAGACGCTTAAGGATAAAAATGGAAGCCTGGTTACCAAGGATAACAAGACGGGTAAAGGTGCAGTAAGAAAGAAAAACAAAAACAGCCGAGTCCGAGAAATAGTCCGAAAAATCGCTTGTCGGCCCGTTTTTCCGCTTTGGACAAAGCCTAGCCAAGGAAACCGTTTGCAAATCATTTGCACGTGCTGATCCCGATTGCTGGTATCATCCCAGCAAATATCATCCTCGTATTGATAACAAATCATTTAAAAAATAAATGATACGGCCGCTTGAAATGAAATGCCATTACAAAATTGATACAGAAGAGAAACGATGGCGGTAATAGTAACAGTATCCGACACAACACGCTCCTCTGTCACTCAACTGTATGTGGGCGGGCAGCGGCGCGAGCGGCGCGGGTGCCGCCCTGTTAGTCCGCAAGGAACGTACTCTTCGCTGCGCAACACGCATCGTCCCGCATCCTTATAGGGCCTGCTACTTTTTCACTAGGTGAATTTCCTCTTCATCGACCTTCGACCTCAATTTGGAATCCTTCTTCCAGCTATATCGCATAAAAATGCCACTATGGCTCTGGATAGGAGTAGGGCATGCGGTGCATCTCAGCTTCGTCTTTGTCAATACTAAATCCTTATCGTAACCCTTTTTCCCTCCTTTTTTATTGCTTGTTACTAAAAAGAAACACTTGTGAACCCATTTTACGTGGTTCCTCTCCAAGACTTCAACTTTGAGCTATTCTTCTCCAGTTCCAGTATGTGGAATCACTTTCGCAGTGTTGCCACTAATACGGGTCTATTGTTTATAATTTGTGTTCACTCACTGGGCTATCGGCTTCACAATTCACTTGGGTTCTCAAAAAATCGATTTACTCACCGTTGTCTTCGTCCTCTTCTTCATCTTCCTCTTCATTCTCGTGCTCCGTGGACGTTTTCACCTCGGAGCTCTTCACGGCGACCTTTTCAATTTCAGCGTGGACTTCGTTCTGGAACCATGGTATTTATTTATTTTCATGGAACCGTGGTGTTCATTTATTTATTCATTTTCATAGGTCGAGTGTAGGTACTTAGTAAGTGCAAGAAACACAATTCAAATAGAAATGCTATTAGCAGTCAAGTGGACAGCGCTCCTAATCAGTTGTGGAAAGAGTCAATATTATGAGGAAAATATATGAGAAAAAAGCCTTTCGAAAGCTCTCTTGACTTCTCTCAGCACTCTGGATCACACACTGGGTCGTTCCGTGAACTTCTATATAGGCATAGAAAATGAACTTCTATATAGACATAGAAAAGATAAAGGAGCTTTCCCAGGGGCCATGAGGTTACCGTTTGAGATCTCAATACTATGCGTCGAACTGTTTCGGATAGCAGGAGGTGGATAGCGCTATCGCGGAAATGGTGAAGTTTTTCGAATTGGGTGAAGTTTGGGTCTGAGGGCTGATATTAGAAGATAGCGAAACGTACCGGCTCAGCGTCGTTCTGTTTATTTTTTGATGGTTTGTCGTCTACAAAGAACTCGGTACCACCTTGCTCTTCACTGACGTCTTCATCTTCCTCTTGTGGTACTGTAAAGGATTTGATCAGTTCATTGATAAACGCAGATACAGTTTTTCTTCTCAAAGTG